GGCTCATGTTTATAACAGTAATCTTGGGGGGTAGACTCATTTAAAATAATGTAATCATCAGGTTTTAGCCAGGTTTCTGTCATGCAAGTAAGTAAGTAAGTAAGTAAGTAGTCTAAAAGAATGGAAAAAGCCAATGTAACTCATTGAAAGTTTTGGGTGAAAAACATTTGGAAAAAATTATTTTGAGTACAACGGCTAATACACAGCTGGCTTCCGTTTTCACGACAGCCCCAAAGGCCTTGAATAGCACATTCAGGTGTGTTTGATCAGAAAAGGACCTGCAGTCCACAGGAAGGGGGGCCTTCAGGAGTAGGACTGCGTACCCCTGCAAGAAGGAGGCCTTTACCTTGGAGAAATTCAAGGCATTCGCTTGTGGCGAAGCGCGACATGGACAAAGTTGGTGGAAAGCAGCCCAGGGAAAGCCCCCTCATGGTGTAGCGTGGCCAAGCAGTCTAAGGCGCTGAATTAAGGCTTCAGTCGGGGGTGTGGGTTAGAATGCCACCATTGCCAGAGCAACCTTTTTGGAAGACTCTTGTGGCTGCGATGGCCTAGCAAAGAGCTTTCCTTGGCCGCACTCGATGGGTTTTGCGATAAAGCTCCACGGCTGCCGTTGCCTCTATTTCTGGAGGGTGGAAGGGCCGAAAAGCACTGCTCTCTGGGGTAGCGTGGCCGAGTGGTCTAAGGCGCTGGATTTAGGCTCCAGTCTCACCGGGGGCGTAGGTTCAAATCCCACCACTGCCAGCAGTGGTTTTAACCAAGGGCGGGAGGTCCTGCGTGTACTCGATAAAGGTTTGAAAATATTGTGAGAGCACACTTTCCCTGACGGCAGCCAGGCCCGCCAGGTACATGCAAGTCAAACAAGATGCCAGCAACACAGCCGAAAGCGTTAACCTTGCTTGGGATTAGGTTTGTTTTACGCAAACAGGATTAGACTGCAGTTTTTCAGCAAAGTCAGCATCGGGGCGGCCATTCCACCGGACAAAGCGGCCAGTGGAACAAGGACCCACTGGGTAGTGTGGCCGAGCGGTCTAAGGCGCTGCGCTCAAGCTGGGGAACAATAGTCTGTTGAAGAAGAGAAGAAGAAAAAGGAGAAATGAAGAAAAGAAAGGGTGAAATTTGATGTTCAAAGACAGTTCTTCCTTAGAACTTGGAGGATCAGAGACCATCTCGACAGCGTTCCCTTGCCTTTTCTTTTGGGGCTTGGGTGAATTGTGCAAAGCCTGATGAAGATGGTCTCCACCAGACGGCAACAGTCAGGCCACTGAGCAGGTGCACTGCTTGCACCCAGCACACTTCTGATGGTGCTCTCTACTCCAGGGGTGTGAGTGGGCCTCTTTGGTACTCTGAAGCGTCCACTCAGCAGTCTCTTCTGGTGTCGAGCTGCATACACCAACCGTTGCTTGTCCCGGTCATCCAGGTTCTGCCAAAGTGCAATTATGATGTTGGCTTCCTGATTGGTCAGGCTGAGGGCTTTGTGACCCCGGATCTCCACCAGATATTCTGCCAGCCTGTCCACATGTTCATATCCCGGGACATTTTGGTAGTCAACAGCCTATTAATAAACCCCAAGCACAAAATATAAATTTTTTCCCATCACATTTGTTTGATGCATAGTTCCATTGATTCGGTTATTTTCACACAATCTGTATAGTACAAAGCACTAACGGAATAAAACTGATTTGACACGATGCATCTTTGTTGCCTACTAATGACTTTAGTTTAAAATCTGAGCAAAGTCTGGATTTAAAGCAGTAGTAAGAAGTAGATGTTGATCCATCCTTGTTTGAATTATTCTAATTTATTTGAAAGAAATACAGAGGATTGGCACTTACCATCTCTTCATCATCATCCTGACCAGCATCCTCTGGTTCTGAGGGGAGTGGTGAAACAGATGTTTCAGAGGGAACCGGTGAGACAGCAGTCCCTGAGGGTCCTGAGGGTCAAGGAGACTGTGTGGGGTCAGGGACCAGTGAAGGGGATGTAGAACCCAGTACAGCCGTGTCAGCCGTGTCAACCAGGGTGGAAGAACCCAGTGTCAGTGTGGAGGAGGGTGGTGACAGAACAACCTCTGGATCTGCAATGGTGTGATCCTCGCTGATGTCACAGAAGCCCTCATCTTCCTCTCGCTCCTCCACATTAAGGTCCTCGATGAGTTCTGCCGTCTCTTCAGAGTCTGGGTTCATGTCCTGCAATGCCTGTCCAGTCTGCTGGAACAGATACTGCACTCCAATGAGCTCACCTGGAATAAAAACAAACAGGAATTAAATACAATTGTTGTGTATCATATTTGATACATAAGGCATTTGTTGTAGCTCATATAGTGTAAGTGTGAGAACATGGAGCTCATAGTCGAAGAGAAAAAAAAAATTCAGAGGCCATAAACCTATACTCAGTACAGTAAATGGTCACCAAATATTACTAATAATATCCAAGTTATTCTTTCTAAAAATAACAATTACTTTCTAATAGTAAAGATTTCACAGCAAAATGACATGTGAACTATGAGCTGAAGGTAGACGTTTGTACAATTATACTGAAAGGCCTTTTACTTGATAGAAAATATCAATCAGATGACAAGAGGGCATGTTTCAAGAAAAAAATTTGATCATGTTGATAATTTAGAGGTCTAAAACACAGATACAGTAGACTTCATAGGCTTAAATATAAAATATCGACTGAGATTACACAGAAATTGCAAGTTAATTAACAATAATAAAATTTTCTTACCGGTGTAACGTGCAGGAGGACAAAACGTGGGGACCACTTTCCTGCCAAACAGCTTTTCATAATTGCGGTTTACACAGTGAACAAGTTCTCCTGTGTAGCTGCGCAAAGCTGATGGCTCCGATGACAGCGAAGCAGCCTCCCGATCCTGGTTCCACCGGTGTAGACCCTCCAGCAAATAAATCTGAAAGTTCAGACTGTTTGCACTGGTCCCTGTAAACCGACACAACAGTTTTTAGGGAGTGTTAAACACACAAAGACACTTAATGTTCTTTCTTTACATACGCACAGTGTGTGTGACAAAGACGTACCTGGGATGAAACGGTTAAGGTGTAAATGAAAGGATTCAAGAGAAGTGGAGCCTCTGGCACATCTGTATGTCTTCAGAAGCACACCTCCCTTGGTTAAGCTCCCGGTCTCAGTATAGAGCGCAACACCAGGGGGGTCTTGGATACACTTGACGTGCTTCTTCTGGACACTCCAGATGTGCTCCATCCTTTCTCGGTCCAGGAGAGGAACACCCAGGGAGTCATTGCCCTTGCTGCTCAGGAGCTCGGTAAGCAGTCGTTCAAGGTGAAGGATGGTAGTCTCCTCTCCACGGGTCCTCCTCCGGCAATGTAGAGCCAGCTCCTCCCTGGTCAGATGCTTGTTGGCATCGTCATCTGTCAGCGCAGGCCAACCCTGGGACATCAACAGCTCTCTCTTTGCTTTTCGAAGCATAGAGACATCAGCCGCATCACATTCAAAGATGCATGCTGATAGCCGTGACATGAAGATGGGGTACAGCTGATGGGCATCAGTTGTACACCCCAAGGCAATCCTGCGCATAAAATGCCAGATGTCCAAGCGTATCACGAGATCTGGCCAGCCTCTGAATCTGGTTTTCAGCTTGGTCTCGCCCACCTCGGTGCAGCACCCACAGTCCACGTACAACACAGCAGGTGGATCCACACCAGCCTGCTGGTATCTTTTCACCAGACCGTCTACCATCATGTCCAGTCCTGCTCCTTCCTGGGCTGTCAGCACACTTATGAGCACCTGACCAAACTCATTGCCAACAGAGGTAAGCCAGAGTCCCGTTCCCCTCGCTGTCCCAGCCAGCTTCTTGGTGATCTGTAATAAGACATGATATGAAGCATGCTGTAAATATAATCAAACATCACACCATGTAAAATACAGTGCCATGCTGGTATATAAACAACAGCATTAATAAACAAATCCACAACTAACCTTTTTAGTAGAATCCATCTTCAAGACAGAGCCATAGGTGGATGTTATCCTTGCATGGATTTCATCCAGCCTTGTCAGGATGTCTTGGCTGTAAACGGTGAGCAGCCACTTGCAGCTTGGCACCACTGTAGGCTCTGGGGGCTCCTGGAATTTTACTGGCATCACCCCGGGTTGATTGAGGAAGTCAACGCATTGGGTGGTGTACCGGGCCAGACGATGGAGCCACTGCTCGCTGTGGTTTTCACGCAGCTGCTTGATCACCCGCGTGGGGCTGTTGCCTAAGCCACGCTCACGCAGGAGCCGGATGACCCGCATATCACAGGCGTACCTTAGGAAATGCAAAATCCACACATTCATATATTTTAGATATTTGATTTGTAAAGTATTTGCTTATATATGTGATGATGGGCTAACAACTGGATGAGGAATGAAAGTGTACTTACTTCCGCGTGAGGATGACCTGAAACTCAGAGCGATGGCCCAGATCTAGCTGCTGCAGGACAGTCTGACTCCAGGACACATGCGAGGCTCTACACTTGGTACAGATGAGGGTTTCTGTGACCATGTTGTACGTTCTGTCAATGTCTAGAACCTGCCGTGACCTTTTGTGCAGACCACCTCCTGTCAGCTGATGTTGTCCACAGGCAGGATTGGGACAGAGAACCTTAACCCTCCACAGCTTGTACGGCATCCACAGCAGAAAAGAATGACAAAAGAATCTGTCTGGAGCTGGAGCCTGATTGTAAATAAGTGCTGGCTGTGGTGGGTAATACCAGAGCTGGAGGTCATTTAGAGTAAGTGGCTAATAGTGGATATAGCTACCGTATATAATGCATCTATTGACGCCGGAATAACGTTGCGCTGCTGAGGCGAGGCTCCCACAGCCTCTCCAGGAGAAATCAAAACACTAAGAAACTCAGCATCCTGAGGTAAAAATTCAAAATGGAAAGTTTTTATATTTAAAATACAGTTATTTAGGCAACATCACACAACGTTTTCACCATTACGACTGTTCAATAGTTCTATAAACAGTTCAATAAGAAAATACAATAATATTAGGTCACTTACATTTTAGGCGGAACACAGCAGACCTCACAGCAAACAGCCTATTCATTGCTGATTGATTCCGTGTTTTGAACGAATCGGTTGAGTCAAAGTTTCATTAGCCCATGTGTGGTAGAGTGAGGTGTAGACCCAGTGTGATTGGCTGGCGTTGCCCAGTCAGGTGAACCTATCAGTGTTCATACTTTATCATGATTGGTCAGTTGGGTAAGTTTCATGAGCCAATTAGTGCCTGTGTGCCTATAAAAGGGGGAGTGTTTGGTTGCTTGGGATGCATCATCCTTGGTACTGCCCCTTTGTGACATGTGGTGCTTTGAATGAGTGCTAGCAGTTGGGTATGAACGACTCAATGACTCACTCATTAAACGCTCACTACTGGCGTTTTAATTTCGTTGAAAAGTATCATTTCCTCCATTTCTTGTTTGTATATTCAAAAAAATATTTAAAAGAATCTCATAATATTATTTAATGCAGTTGTAATTTTCAGCGTAAATGATTTAATTTGATAACGTATAGATAATCACATTATTATATTTTAATTTATAGATCAAATGTAAAAATCTGAAATGAACGTATTTATGAGATTAGCGGGAAAATGCCCTCTACAAAGGTAAAAAAAAAATACCCTTGGATAAAATATAAAAAACACGTAGATTTATGTCACAGCTGATAGAAAACTGATGAGAATATTGCTTCAGAATAAATTATATTTGCAAAACACACATGCATATTATTCTTATATATACAGTGGGTACGGAAAGTATTCAGACCCCCTTAAATTTTTCACTCTGTTATATTGCAGCCATTTGATAAAATCATTTAAGTTAATTTTTTTTTTCCTCAATGTACACACAGCACCCCATATTGACAGAAAAACACAGAATTGTTGACATTTTTGCAGATTTATTAAAAAAGAAAAACTGAAATATCACATGGTCCTAAGTATTCAGACCCTTTGCTCAGTATTTAGTAGAAGCACCCTTTTGATCTAATACAGCCATGAGTCTTTTTGGAAAAGATGCAACAAGTTTTTCACACCTCGATTTGGGGATCCTCTGCCATTCCTCCGTGCAGATCCTCTCCAGTTCTGTCAGGTGGGATGGTAAACGTTGGTGGACAGCCACTTTTAGGTCTCTCCAGAGATGCTCAATTGGGTTTAAGTCAGGGCTCTGGCTGGGCCATTCAAGAACAGTCACAGAGTTGTTGTGAAGCCACTCCTTCGTTATTTTAGCTGTGTGCTTAGGGTCATTGTCTTGTTGGAAGGTAAACCTTCGGCCCAGTCTGAGGTCCTGAGCACTCTGGAGAAGGTTTTCATCCAGGATATCCCTGTACTTGGCCGCATTCATCTTTCCCTCAATTGCAACCAGTCGTCCTGTCCCTGCAGCTGAAAAACAACCCCACAGCATGATGCTGCCACCACCATGCTTCACTGTTGGGACTGTATTGGACAGGTGCCTGGTTTTCTCCACACATACCGCTTAGAATTAAGGCCAAAAAGTTCTATCTTGGTCTCATCAGACCAGAGAATCTTATTTCTCACCATCTTGGAGTCCTTCAGGTGTTTTTTTAGCAAACTCCATGCGGGCTTTCATGTGTCTTCCACTGAGGAGAGGCTTCCGTCGGGCCACTCTGCCATAAAGCCCCAACTGGTGGAGGGCTGCAGTGATGGTTGACTTTCTACAACTTTCTCCCATCTCCCGACTGCATCTCTGGAGCTCAGCCACAGTGATCTTTGGGTTCTTCTTTACCTCTCTCACCAAGGCTCTTCTCCCCCGATAGCTCAGTTTGGCCGGACGGCCAGCTCTAGGAAGGGTTCTGGCCGTCCCAAACGTCTTCCATTTAAGGATTATGGAGGCCACTGTGCTCTTAGGAACCTTAAGTGCAACAGAAATTTTTTTGTAACCTTGGCCAGATCTGTGCCTTGCCACAATTCTGTCTCTGAGCTCTTCAGGCAATTCCTTTGACCTCATGATTCTCATTTGCTCTGACATGCACTGTGAGCTGTAAGGTCTTATATAGACAGGTGTGTGGCTTTCCTAATCAAGTCCAATCAGTATAATCAAACAACACACACATAACAAATCCCAATTTAACCCCTGGTTGTAACGCAAGTGTTACTGAACATGTACCGAGTAAAATATTACTGAAAATTGATTAGTAATGCCTTGCACTACTGCGTTACAGCAAAAAGTAATCCATTACTGTAATGCATTACTTTTGTAACGCGTTACTCCCAACACTGATTATACCACAGTATATATGCAGAACTTAAAAAGCTGTACATGAAGTATGATTTTTTTTTTTTTTAGAGGCAACATCATTTTAACTAAAAAGCCATTGTTGCCAGGTTAATGTTAAATGCAAGAAATAAAATAATCATTGATTTTATTGATTTTTATGTGTGACTTTATAAGAAACTCATCATGCAAAACTAGATAATAGAGAAGTAGATAATCATCATTATAGATGCATAGCCAAGACTAGCACAGACCATCTTCTGGTATATTTACTTGATGTCATCAAGCAGGCCCTCGGGTCATTTTGAATTTAAAAACTAAATTGCAATTATTCATTTTGTCATTTTATGTTATTTTCCTGCATAAAAATGAATTCCAAAGATATATGAAAGCTGTACATAAAGAGGAAACATCATTACAATAAAAAAAACATTGTTGTAGGTTACCAAAAAAGAGCTGAAGCAAAGTAAAAAAAGCAACAATCTAAATGTTTTTCACTAAATTAATAAAATTTAATATATTTAATTTTTCTAGAAAAATATTTTTTCCAGTTACTTTTCTATTATATTAAAAATTGTGTCTCGGACACGCTCCCGAGTCACTCGTCACCTACTCAGCTGTCAATCAACCACTGCACTAAAACAAGGGTTTGATATTTTGTTGGTTATGTATGGCTTATGTATAAGCACTTCCAAAAAAATAAAAGTGGATAAGCCCCATCATATGTACATAACCAAGACTAGCAGAACATCTTTGGTTGGTCTGATATCAACATGTACTAACATGGTTCAGTTAATGTGCTGGGTAATGCAGTGTTGGGAAGGTTACTTTGGAAATGTAATAGATTACAGATTGCAATATATCATATTTAAAATGCAATAAGTAGTGTAACTATTTCATTTACTTTAAAGTAATGTAACAGATTACATTTGATTACTTTTCTAAATTTCTAACAAATGTTTTCATCTGTTAATCATTTTGAAACATTTAAAGCAGGCAGGGCTAACCTTAGTACTCAACACTTACTACTGTCAGACTTTCAAAATCCTCCTTCATTTGAAATTAAGATGATACTAATTGAATTTTAAAGCACAGCCACCACAAAATCAGACTTTAGCACCGCTTTCATTCTGCAGTAAATACAGATTCAAAATCATAAGAAACCGTTTAATAGCTATGTTTTTGAAATCTAATCTTTGCATAGCTATGACAGGAAACACTGGCATCTAACAATGGCCTTGGAAAAAAAAAAATTAATCCTGTAAAATAAAGCATATACATAAACCGAAAACCACTAAATCCAGAAGAACCGTGGTTATATATCCAAGATGCTTCAAGAAATCTACCTGCAAAGGTACCCGAAAAACTCTGCGCAAGTGCACAGAGGGCAAAAGCTGCTTTAAACGCAAAGGATGGTCACACCAAATGTTGATTTATCATCCTAGCATCCTCATTTTACAGCATTTTTAGACAAGTGCCTAAAACTTTTAACAGTACTGTAGCTTTGCAGGTAGGTTTCTTGAAGCATCTTGGAGACGTTTCCACAGTTCTTCTGGATTTAGTCTGTCTCAGTTTGTTCTGTATCTTCACGTCATTCCAGAAAGACTGGATGACTGTGAGATCAGATCTCTGTGTGGAGCACTGGTTGCTGTCAGACAAAAATCTCACTGGATTATTACAATTAATGGCAAAAGGAATGTTTGGAAAATGTAAACCGATATTTCCTACTGACACACTACAGCAAAAGATAGAAATAACTGACTTAAAACCATTTTTAGCTGCTGAAAATACTAGTGTTCTAATCATTTTGACTAAAAAAAGTTATAATAAAGGAGAAGGGCAATAGTGAAGCAAAAAGATTCATTTTGGAAAACTCATTTTTATTAGACCGTCCCCTATCATTCTGTGAACACTGCAAACAAGCATTTTATGTTCTTTCTCACATTTGTCACTTTGGTCTGACTGTCAGTGTTGAAGATATGCTGATATGATAGCATTATACAGCTCAATGGTTAAAGGCCTGTTTGTAAAGGAGTGTTGTCAGGAATAGCTCCATCCTTTGAAGCCCTGGTGTGCAATGACAAAAGGCACTAACAGAGGTAATGTAACTGTAGGCTAGCTCACACACACACACACACATACTCTTCAGTTAAAAATAAATGTGACAGGTCACATGTTGGCTGCTGCGGACACAGTGGACATGAACAGCAGGGAGGGTGCTGTTCATCTTTTCAGAGTCCAGGGGGAGGAGTGCATGAGGAAGATGGTGGAGGTGTTTGATCAATCTGCCTCTTTCAGGCCGCAGGGTCTCCTGAATTCCTGACCTCTCTCGTGGATCCATTTATTTGACACTAACGGACAGAAAGAGAGAATGGAAAAGACATCAGACAGATTGTTTTTTGAAATTTCTCTAAGAAATCCATTGTGCCAGCTCAAGCTAAATGCATGGTGAGGCTGCCTTCAGAAAACCAACAGGGTTGAAAGTTCATAAAGTTTAGGAAGCTTTAGAAGTTAGCATCGATAGTTCAAACAGACATTACTAACTATTATCTGATTAATGAATACAATCAAAAATTTGATTTAATACATTTTTTTTAACAAGGGACAGTTGTGGTAGTAACAGGGTTGACACAGCATGACTTCAAGACGTTTTGCTTATTTGCTAATACAGCAGGAAATACTCATGAAGAAAGTAAAATGGTTGATAGTTTATTTTGACATTAATAACTATTTGATTAAGTGCACACCAAATGTTGATTTATCATCCTAGCATCCTCATTTTACAGCATTTTTAGACAAGTGCCTAAAACTTTTA